TATATATATATATATACATATATATATTGGGTGTGGAAAAAAGTTCGTGGCGTTTTTTTAGTAAAATTCAAATATTTTTCTTAGAATATTAAAATTAATTTATTCAAATCAAATATGCTCCATTATTTTCGATAATATTTTGACATTTTTGGGGCAGAGCCATAATCCCATCGCGATAAAACTTCTGTGGTTTCTGGTCGAAAAACTGCATCAAGTGATTTTCACAGGCCTTTTTTGAAGCCAGCTTTACACCATTAAGAGAGTTTTGCAGAGACCTAAACAAATGATAATCTGAGGGTGCTATATCAGGTGGATGCATTAAAACCTCCCAACCAAGCTCTCGCAATTTTTGCCGAGTCATCAAAGATGTGTGTGGTCGAGCGTTGTCGTGATGGAAAACGACACCCTTTCTATTGATTAATTCTGGCCGCTTCCTCTCAATTGCTTGTTGTAATCTTTTCAGTTGTTCACTGTAGAGTTCGGAATTAATTGTTTGATCGGGCGGTAACAACTCATAGTGAACGATTCCTTTCCAATCCCACCACACACACAACATTACCTTCTTTGTCGTCAATCCAGGTTTTGCGATTGTTTGCGCTTTCTCTCCTTTCTTTATCCACGATCTTTTTTGAGTTCGATGGTCGTACGTAATCCATTTTTCATCACCAGTTATTATTCTCTTTAAAAATGGCTCAATTTCATTCCGTTTCAGTAGCGTATCGCAAATGTTAATTCGGTCCATCATGTTCTTAACACTTAACTCGTGAGGAACCCAAACATCGAGCTTTTTTTGTATCCAGTTTTGAGTAAATAATTCAAAACCGTTTTGTGGTCGATGCCTAGTTCCCTCGCAATCTCCACACTGCTCACATGCTTATCACGCTCAATTTTTTCCATGATTTCATCAGACGTTTCGGTGATTGGTCGACCGGAGCGAGGTTCATCTTTAACATCGAAATTTCCAGTACAAAAGCGAGTGAACCATTTCCGTGTGGTTGATTTTGAGAGAGTATTTTCACCGTAAACAGCACAAATTTTTTCATAAACCTGTGCAGCGTTCTTGCCTTTATCGTAGTAATACTGCAAAATGTATCGAATTTTTTCCTTATTTACCTCCATTTTCAAAATAAAATAACTTTTGATCCACTTCACCGATTTCAATCTTTTTTGGTTCAAAACAAAGATTGAAATGTCACACGTCACACACGTTTTTATAGTTGTCGATGTGATTAATAGTTACCGAATGCTGAGTATGTAATATCATCTACCCAAGTAGCAAAACGACGTCAAAACGACAACAAATTTTGGTCATAAAATGACCAATGCGACGTCATAAATTGGATCTCAGATGACCTAAATTGGTCATCAGAGACCCGATAATGACGTCGATATGTCACATCCACCGGACGTCATTTTCTGACGTCATATTGACAGCAAAACAAGACCAAATATGTGACGT